ACATAGTATGGAAGAGGAACATCGCGACTGGCACGGAACCGCCCAACGTTGGTACAGTGTTCGTTCTCTACACGGAACACTGACCACATGCCTCTTCGCAGTACCTCCAAAAGTGACACCACAAACGACGTCACTGCAGGGTGAGAGTTCTGAAGCGGCACAATCGTGTACAAAACCCAAATGTTTCGCAAGATTGGATCGATGCACATGGCCGTGTAGTACCACCAGGCCTTCTTGTACCCCAGCTCTTTGCGCAGAAAGGGGTACTTTGCACGCGGATCGCCCAGACTCCAATCGTAGTAGATGTCCCAGAAGCTTGTATAGATACCATTGATGATTCCAAAGGTAATATATGCGGCCTTGGTCGAGGCCCGGCTGTCCATACGATGAATGCTGAGCGTTGCGTTGAACAGAATAGTAGCAGTGTACTTTCCACCGTTCAACAGATGGGGAAATTTGTTGCCAGTGTCCTTGTATCGTCGGAGACACTGTAGCAATCGCCATACACCGGGAAGCGCAGAAAGAAAACCAGTGATGCGCAGATGAGACGAGTTGCATTGTGGCGGGTAGTTCCAGTCGTGTGCGTACAGACAGAAGAACATGGCGATATTCTAGAAACGTCAATGGCATACAAACGAACAAGTTGCTTACAACTTACGCTCATGCTGTATGTCAAGGAACAAAACATATCACCCATGTAAAAGTCTCGCCATTCCACGGGGTACACACCAGCAAGTATCAAGCGCCACTAACAAACTGTCAGCAGATTCATAGGAAACAAGACACATAACACTTACCAGTGAGTATAACAACCACATCCTCGTCCTAAAGTAAAATACCCGGAGGGGATTGAACAAAACAGCAATAGATATCCCAATAAGAATGACCGGGTAGTACAGATACATCTGCGCCCCACCAACCTGATGGAAGTTGATTTGCATAAACAGTCCCAGCATGAACAAATACCAACAAGGAATCTATCTCAAGTCAGTCTCTACCATGGTCTATTTGCATAATACACAAACCTCTGCAAGTTGCCTCCAATCCAAATGGTGGCGGGTATCATATTCGAAGATAAAAACGTAATTGATCTTGTTCTCGTGCCAAACTCGGCACGCCAGACAGAAGAGTAGTGTAAGGAAGTTGACAATGAAGTATCCGGCATATATCTGACAACGTTAGCAAGGCGAAGAGCAAGGGTTTCGTTTCCTTCTCACCTGTAATAAATAGCTCGTATCTACAGCCAGTGTGCTTGGGCTTGGATCATACAAATCGGCTATACTGTTTGCCTTGATGATGCCCTGGAGGGCCAGAATGGTACCTGCGGCTAGCAAAAGGCCGTTGCGGAAGGTATTGTCGGTATAGTCACCGGCACGTGCGGTCTTGACGCGCAGTTTGTTAACAGCAACCTTGTGGTTGCCCTTTTCAAAGTATCTTGCATATAGATCTTCCACTGTTCGAATGTGTCCCTCAATCACATCGCTGTTGACGAACCAGGCCTGGTTCACCTTCTCGTTCATGTAGCGAGATGTTGGACGTGCATTCACAGTCTTGTCGTACTTTTTGTTGATTTTGCGGAAGGCAGTGCGGTTGAGCAAAGCATAGGCTTTTAGCAATTCCAGTCCACGGTAGTATTCTTGGAGCGCTATCTTTAGCTTTCGCTTGGCTGTCTTGTAAGGAACCTCTGGCAGGTCGGGGCGCCGAGCAAAGTCACGGCGGCTGTCCGGATGGTCTCTAGGCCGGAGCGCTGCTGGTGTCGTGAGTTGAGCAATGTTCTTGGTGCTCTTCCCGTACTTGCCCGCATTGATGGCTTCGAATGCAGCGTCGACAGGGCTCATGAGCGTATCCTTCAGCACATTGCTGTTGACCCAACTGTGCTGAACTTCCTCGCCTCGACTACTATTTTGACCGCCACTGAGAATATGGTCATCTTCGTGCTTCTTATACATCTTAGCATTGATTTTGTCGGTTTGTCGTTGGATAATATCATCGATGCGGCGGTCTCTCATGATGTGAAGCTGGTCGCGCAGGACAGCCAGGCGGTCGGTGGCTTCATCTTCCTTTTGCTTGTAAAATCTCTCAATCTTGTCCAGCTCACCGTCAAGGAAGTTGAAGAACTCAGCCTGACGGAAGTCGAAGTCACGATATGCTTCAAGTGGCACATCGCCTGGGCTAGCTGGAGGGGTCCTGTTGCTCGCGGAGAACAGGCGGCGTACAGAGGGTCGTGGGTGGGACGAAGTGACAGGGCCCGGCGTCGAGTTCATGCGCTTGGGACTGAAGACGCTTTTGTACTTTGCGGGCAAGGAGTGGTGACTCTTGTTGGGTGCCCTCGTCTTGCCCACCTCGAAAGCATTGTCCGTCTCTAGCTCTGCAGGCGGCGGCAGTGTCACAGTCTTTGTCTTGGTAAGAGGCTCGCCAGACAAGCCAACGTGGGGAGAGACATGCTCCGGGTCAAGGGCGGCACCAGGCAGTTTCAGGGACGGCGGGGCCCTGCTCTTGCCCGCAAAGCCTTTCTGTGTACCATTAGGAGGGCTGGTAGCGGCGAAGCTGCCATAGCTACTGCCCAGGTAAGAAAGCTCGCGTTGTCCCTTGTTCAAGGGTTCTTCCTCAGGCGTGCGGCCGAGCTGACTGCCCTGACCGGCCTGGCCACCGTCTGCCTTCCGCTGCAAACTATTCCTACTGCGTGTATTGGTAATGGCGAGCGCCCTCAGGTCTTCTGTATCTCGGGCATTGCCCTGGTGCGTGTGTTCCCGGTTCAGGTACGTGTACTTGGGCGCGGCGTCCAGCGGTGACGGTAGTACACTGGCACCACCACGTCTGCGCAGTCGCGGGGTCGACTCCACATGGCGGAGGGCGCGGTCGATGGCCTTGAGCTTCTTTTTGCCCAACTAGAGAAAATGTCAGTCCATGGTCAATACTAATCGCAGGCTAACCGGGTCCGATAACGGCAGCGTACTTTGTAATCCAAATACTTGAGCCTCCACTCCGGCACGAGATCGCGCTCGAGTTCCCTGTCACAGTCAGCAGCTGTGCGTATCGATGCGCGCAGTATTCCTGTCTCACTTTGCAAACTTCATGGCAGTCTTTGTGGGCGCGTCAGAAGCGAAACAACGACGAGTGACAGGTACGGCGCGTTCCTTCGCGACACATGGGGGGTCCACTACCAGCCGGTAATAGCTGACAACTCAACACGTGGGCGAACCTATCGGCGCTCGTAGGCGCGCTGTTCATGTACGACGACCCAAAGATTCAATGGCGCTGCGAGGGCGGCGGGCTGGCAAGCTGAGGGGAATCTCTTCTTGTCGTCGAACCCACGAATCACGCCCAGCTTGGCGGTTGGCAAAAAGGGTCCCCACGTCATCATTCGTCAAACCACTGTCCCGGATTCTCAACCGTATCGGGTGGACTGGCTTCTAGACTCAAGGCGTCGCGAACACCGCCAAAATTGGACGTTTCTTCACAGTCGAACAAAAAAGCATGCAACACAAAAGCAAAGGTGCATCAAGAGTACATAAGCGTTCATGTGTAGTAAGCGTCAGCTGCTAGTAGTCCCTGTCTACCACCCGCGCCTCTCAAACCTCTCCGGCGCACCGTATTGGTTAGGGTCGTATTGGTCCGCTCCATGGTTATCAATGTAGTGCTCGTCATACATGCGCTCAGCGTGTTGTTTCGCGTCGCGCTTTGCCTTCTCCCGGTCGAACCAGTCCTCTCCCTTGGTCTCGGCAAGCTTGTCAATCTGAAACTGTCAGTCTCTCTGTTGAGGCATAAAAAGATTGAGTCGAAGCATACCTCGGCACCTGCAAAGCCTGCCAGCAGCTCTTTGGCAAATTGATGTGATACGGGCTTGCCTAGTTATAAAAGTGAGCACAAGGGTTGCAGACTGGAATGGGTTAATTGTCGCATACCCTCTTTACGCTGGTGGTCTTCAAAAGCCTTGAAACCTGCAAAGGCTGCTCCTCCAGCAATCATCTCATGGCCCAAGCTGGACTTGTGCTCCTCGAAGTTTTCGTTCTCGTAAACCTTCTGGTAGTTGTCCTCGTTCTTGTCTATGTTACTTGTCAGCATCCCACTCTATAGCGCCTTGCAAACGTATGCTGGCAAACAACTCACCCCAGAAACCCATTGTGGCTGATAGATGCAAGTAGTATGAAGTATGTAGAGTGGTTACGATAGGATTCAGTGTAGTTGTTGTGACAGAGAGCGAGTTGGATTTGTAGGTCTGAAAGAGGTAGACCAGACCTGGCTTTATACTCGTCTTTGAGTACCATCTCTACCATGGTTATCGCGGCCGCGTCAGCGCTAGCTAGCTACCATCTGCATAGGGATCCATTGAAACAGACGAAACTAGCTATGAGGGCCGATCGAGCCACTCGCCAAAGCATTCATCAGCCATACAGGGTCCATTTGTGGCTCAGTTTGCCAGCCGTCTGCGGGGTCTTCAACGCCCCTTGACATCATTCGACCACACGTTGTGCCGGTACCGATGTGTAACACGGTCTGATAGTATGGAGCATGGCTGAACGTGGTATAGATGCGTGCGTAATGCAGCGAGCCGTGGACTCCGGAGAGCGGGATTAATGGGCCGGCGAAATAAGCTTCCTTGGTATAGCTTAGCCCTTGGGGCTATGCAACTGCAGTCCTGCCCCTCGGGCGGGGAACTCTGAGACGAGCTGAATTCATGCCTTCAGAACTCACCAACAGCAACACACAATATCAGCACGCCATCTCTGACGAAATTTGTTGCCATCAGAGAGCGAGATGGCGATGTTGGCAACGGTCAAGGAAGAAAGCTTGGCTGTTTAGTCGGTGAAGATCTCCCGGCTCAGGCGATCGTTGTCTTGCCTCGAACCCCGCGATTGTCCGCCCCTCAAAGAGCTCAGCCTCACAACCTACCGTAACTTGCGACAACATGCCAGGCCGCCTCCCTGAAAAAACAGACTTCCCTTCATCTGCGGTTTTAACCGTTACGCCCTGTATGCCGAGGTCTGCCAGTATCTCTTATGTCTCCGCTAACAAGCCCAGCGCCTTCCTCGCAGCCGACCAATGTCTTGATCCTTCTGCACGGCCTCGGAGACACGCATGAGCCTTTCACCAAGCTTGGACAACAGCTGAACCTGCCAGAGACAGCATGTATCGCAGTGCAGGCCCCCAACCCGGTACCGTTCGATCTTGGCGGGATGAACTGGGGTGAAGATATGATTTTTGACTCGAGCACCGGCGAAATGGACATGGACACAGGTCTAGAGAAGTCTGTGAAGCTGGTGCTCGACGATGTCATTCGCAAAGGGCTTATCGACAAGTGTGGCTACAAAGCGCGCGAGATTATGATATTTGGGTTTGCACAGGGCGGCATGGTCGGGCTACAGGTTGCCGCCGAGCTCTATGGCGAAGAGCTCGGCGGGGTAATCAGCGTTGGCGGTCCGCTGTCACAATCTGTGCCGCTCAAAGCGCTACAAAACAAGAGCAAGACACCAGTACTGGTCTGCAAGGCGAACAAAAAGTCGTCAGTCAGCGACAGTGCAATTTCCAAGCTCAAAGACGCTTTTGAGTACGTCGAAATTGCAGAGTGGAAGAAGAACGGCGACAGTATGCCGAGCAACCGCGAAGAGATGATGCCCATTATGCAATTCTTTGCCCGCCGGCTCCGAAGCACCAAAGGCGTACCCGCTGGAAGCGTCGAGCTCAGCTAGACACAGGGTCTGGAAGCAACAAAAGAAGCAGAATGAGCATGGGACGGGGGCGCAGCCATGTACGTATGTCGACTCATCGCAGCGTCAACAACGTCAGCAAGCAACCTTTCCAAGCGCTGGGTAGGTAGCAAAGAAAGGTCAGTGGGGCCATTGGGTCTCGGGAGATTAGGCTTGGAAGTGGGCAATGTTGATGTCAATATCAATAGAAATTGAAATGGAAATGCTAAAGCTCAGTGTTGTATTATTGACACCGCTTCTGGCGTTTGGTGGAGACTGTTCTTTCCAATCCCCGTTGGGCACGTGTAGAAGTTGCAAGGTGGCCCAAGCTCGTCCTACGTCATGCTCTAGTGCCATCTGCTCGTCCCTCCACTCTTCTTGTAGCATCTGCACGTCTCACCGCTACGCACCAACATGGCAGTGCCGAGGAATTCACTACGAGCTTTCCTCACGCACGCGAGAGGCGCACTTCGCGATGCTATTGACTGCAGTCAGAAGATCACGTTTGTGATTGGCAATGAATCGGCCGGTGAGCATGACTCCCCGCTGCGCGCAAGGGCGTTTTCCGTACTCATGCAATCCAGACCTTGATTCCATGTCAAGCTCGATTCTCTACGCCTACCTTCGGTCCATGTCGCCACAAAAGAAGGCGTTTAGTTCAGTCTATGTGCCAATCACAAATATTCCAGCTGCCGATATCCAGTTGCGACCGGAATATCTTGCCGTTTTCAAGCACGCTAACATCGAGTCCAAGCATTTGATTACACTGGATGATCTTCCTGCATTGTCAGATATCCGGTCCAAACTGGCACCCGAGAACACACGGTGGATTCTTGTAGACCACAATGCTCTCCAGGGCCAGCTGGGCGAGATCTATGCTGACCGCGTGGCCGGTGTTGTTGACCACCATGATGACGAAGGCAAGGTGCCAGCAGACACGGGTGAGGAACCTCGAATTATTGAAAAAAGCGGCAGTTGCACTAGTCTTGTAGCCAATTACTGCCGCCCGGCGTGGGATGCCCTCTCTGCATCGGCGATGTCTTCTGGGGCATCCCATGGACAAGATGACAGCTTGTCAAACGACGCGGCCTTTGTCCAGCAGTGGGACGCGGATGTAGCCCAGCTGGGACTGGCCAGTATCCTCATCGATACAGCCAATCTCCAGGATGCGAGCAAAACGACCGAGCATGACCGTGAAGCAGTCGGGTACCTCGAAGCCAAGATTATGCTATGCCCCCGATTGGCTGCAAGCTTCGATCGGACCAGGTATTATGAGGAGATTGATGCAGCGAAGAAGGACATTGGTAGCCTACAGCTGCAAGACATATTGCGGAAGGATTACAAGCAGTGGGACGAGGCGCAGAGACTGGGCATTAGCTCGGTCGTCAAGTGCATCGGGTTTCTGGAGAAGAAGGCTGGCGATGAAGGCAATGCGTCACCACGGGAAGCGTTGTTGCAGACGATCAAGAAGTTTGCAAAGGATCGTGAGCTGGGCATGTACTGTCTGATGACGACGTCGACGTCTGCGAGCGGGCAGTTTGAGAGAGAGGTCCTTTTGTGGGCTTTTGGTAAAGGAGGTGTATCAGCTGCCAAAGCCTTTGCCACGAATGCACGGGAGGAACTTGGTCTGGAGGACTGGCAGGGTTACAGCGACCTGGACAGTGGGAGCGAGTGGAGAAAAGTTTGGTGGCAAAGACAAGTACAGCACAGCCGGAAACGTGTCGCGCCGTTGCTCAGGGAAGCCATGACATGACTATGGTCGGCGGGTAGCAAGCTGTAGTGGGGAGTGTTAGAGTGGTAGACGTAGGAGCGGAGGGTACATGGCAGGGTAGCAAGCGGTATTTTGGGCAAGGCGCTACGCCGAGAGGCCGGAAGGGGAATGGATGAGATTGGTATGTTTGCATGTGTTTTGCATTGTGTATATGTAGGTTTAGCAGTAGCATGTAGATTGAAGGGTGCATAGCAACGGTTGGGCAGTGCGAGGGGCGTGTTGCTTGGGCTGAGGTTGGGTAAGTGGGGTGGGGTTGGGGTTGTGGTTGTGTTTGGGTGGTGACTAAGTGAGAAGCGGTCTGCCGACAACGGGGCTAGCGGCGGTCGCGGGGTATTCTCTCGCACGCGACCGGCAGATGGGATAGTGAGCAAAGTAGAGGATGTGCAGGTGCAGGCATCCAGACACGGGCAGATGGGTCGGTCTAGCATATTTTCTTGCGACTGCAACGGTTCAGGCGAGTGGATGCAGATGGGCACGCACAGACATGGATAGATGATGGATGGATGGGCAGGACAAAGATAGATGGACACGTTATCATGGCGTAATCTGGCGGTGGCAGGCGAGAGAGGCGGCGAGTAGCAGGTCAGGTGCGAGTGCATGAGTGCAGCAAAGGCGCAAAAGGAACACGTTTGGGCGACAGAGACTGCACGGCATGCGGCACGGCGATGCGGCTCATTGGACGGGCATGGCAATGGGCATGGCAGAGCAGCGGCGGTTTGGAGACGGGGGCAGCGACTAGGGCTGCACTGCAAGATGAAGTGGGAGACGTGCGGTTCACAGCAGGGCGACGCAATGGTTTTGGCGTGCAGCAAGTTGCATGGGCCTTGTTGACAGCATGCGCAGCGCTTGATGTGCTGGCAGCGCAGGGGCAGAAGACGACTCCACCCGACCGCCGTCAAGTTACGAGGGCGACAAGCGGAGCGAAGGCGTGATTTGCTGATGGCTGCTGGCGGCGCAAAAAGGTGCGGATGTAGGTATGGGCGAGGGGGAGGGGTGTTTGGGAGTGGACGGGTGTTGTGGTGGGAGTGGTGGTGGTGGCAGCAGCAGCAGCAGCAATAGCAATAACGACACCACCCACAGCCAAGCCCTAGATGCTCCGGGAGAACAGCGACTCGTCGGTGGCGATGGCAGGCGTGCGCTGTCTTTGGAGCGAGGATGGGTAGCAGCGGGGATGGCCTGGCCGGGAACGTGTGGGCGGAGGAGCAGAAGGGGGGGTCCCTTTGCAGCTGAGGCATTTGGGTGCAGGGCGTATGATTGGCAGACGGGCGATGTGCTGGTCGTGGCAGGGCTGCAAGTCATCGCGGTGGTCGCCTGGCCCGGCGTGGATACAGTAAGTAGCAGCAGTAGAGAGAGCAAAGGCACCAAAGGCGGTCAGCCCTCTCCTCTCCTCGTCTTGGCCGTTGAGCGTGCACACAAGGGACTCGATCGCCGCCGCCCAATCACACCCCGCCCGCCTCGCTACGGCCCCCATGCCCGCCAAAAGAGTCAAAGACGCGCCAACGCACACGTCGAGGCCGTCGCCAGCTGCGCCCAAAGCAGCTCCTCCTCTCCCAATACCATAGCTACATCTGGCCATGCTGTAGCCCATTGCTGCCACTCCATCCTCCGTCAGAGCTGCTCCGCTCCCCCATCTTCGGGCTGACACGCCGTCACGGCGAATGGCGAATGGCGACATGATGCGACGATCCCAACTCACGGCCTCGCCCCCGGCACAGGCCTCAAACACCCCTCTACGTATGTGCCTGTTCCTATCTTCACCCGTGCCCCTCTTGACCCTCTCCTTCGTCCCTCTCTCTGTCCCTCCGTGCCTCTGCTTGGGCCTGTCCGTGTGCCCGTGTGCCTGGCCCAGTCACTGGTCCCTCGTATCAATGCGCTCTGTACGATGTGCTGGCACTACAACCGACTCTGACCTCACTCGCAGCCGTGTCGCCCACCGTCACCCACTTCTCCTCGAGGAGCCACACGCCCTCGCACCATACTTCTCAAGCAGACGACCCGCCTGCTGAGGCTCCCCCCCGGTCGCCCTCTCCTCGCCCTTCCAAACAATCCACGGCGACCATGGGCAGTCGACCTGGCGCGTCCCTCGACGCCGCTAGCAACGACCGCCATGGCCTCTCCACCCTCCTTCACCAAAGGCCCCAGATGGCCGCTTCCATGTCTGCTCCCGCCGGCCGCTTGCCTCGACTGCTCCCCGCCGACCTGTCCTCGTACACCGACTCGTACCTGCCCACCGCAGCCATACCCCCCTCCGCCACTTCCCTCGCTGAACTCGCCCACCTGATCCGCCTCCAGGGCTACCAGGAGCAGCGCAAGGCTCACTCCAGAGTCCGCCTGCACAGATGGCTCGTCTCCAGCGCCCTCTCCGCACGTCTGGTACACTGCGGCGAGCTGGCATACCGCACCCTCGTGGACAACTTTCGGTCGGACGACAAGAAGGCCTTTGCCTCGCTATACAACGCTCTCAACGACGTCCGCAACTCGTGTGACGCCACACGCCAGTATGCCCTGCTGGAGCCAGACCTGGAGTTTGGAAAATCAAAAACCACCAAGTCGGACAAGTCCCTCTCGGCCTCGACTTTCCTCAACGATGTTCCCTCGAAGATCCTGGACGATCTTCTAGATTTCATTTCTGAAATTCGCACAAATCCCGAATTTCTTGCTTCTCGCATTTCCAGCCTCTCGCAGCAAGAGTTGGCTGCTCTTACTTCTTTCCGCCAGGCCATGGACCCTATTGACTCAGTCATGGCCATTCAGGCCCGCGGTCGAAATCTAGGCTCCCAAAAGGCCCAGCAGCAAGGCGGCAACCCCATTGAACGCCTCTTGTCTTTCCAGCGCCACGACCCCCTCTCAGCGCTTGTTTACACAATTTTTGCAAACTCGTCTGGTCCGGATTCCGCAGAGGACCTTCGCCGTACCGATGTTTGGGCCACCGTCTGCGCCAAACTAATCAAGGATACCAAGATTAGCCACAACTTCATCAGAACCATTCTGGACGTCTGGGCAGGCATGCGCGAATGGCCCGGAAAGGCCAACCTGGAGCTTTACCTCATGCAAACCCTCCAGGACGGTCAGTTCCTCCTTGAGAAAGCTGAGGAATCAGGTGTACGGGCTGGAGCACAGCCAGTGCCTCGCAGTACCAAGGATACCATTGCTGCAGACGAGTTCTTTGACAAGGCTGTTAAGCGCTTGTTTGAAGTCGTCGATGACGAGCCCAGTGCTGGTGGCATCCCAG